AAGTTAAGGTTTTTGTTCAGCATGGCGTTTGCATGTTTTAACGGCTCTCTCTCACTAACAACAGTCACGTTATGCGGGATCCATGCGTCGTTGTCTAAGCGAAATCGTACAGTCGTTGATGATACTGTATTGATACCGTGTTGACGTTCCGAGACTGAGAGTTCGACACGCTATGTTATGGTTAAGGTTTAATTAGAAACAAATTGATTAATACGGAAGTGGCCGTGCGATTCTTTCCTGGAGTTTTTGCGTCCTGCGATGAGATATGAACTTGGGAACCTAAACCATGAACGCACGATTTTTGCGATTTAAAGCTTTCGTGACTGCAAGGATTCATCTTCTTTGGTTCTTTCGGTAAAGTCACCACGTAGAATGAGAATAAAATAATGAATTGATAAAATAAAATAACATAATAATATTCTCACGACGTTTCGGCCACAACACAAGCGGCCTTCATCAGGTGAAGGGACGAGACTGTCTGGAGGACAGTGCTGGAGTGAAAAAGGCACGCTCAAATCGCGACCTTTAAGCCTCAACTTTAGCAACACGGATAGCTCAAGGGGTGCCTCTGTGGATGTGTATGCTTTGACTTTAACATATCCATTTCTGTGACCAGTCACAAGCTAATCACTCAGCTATTTCAATGCTAAATTCTCCTGTTTGATTTATACTAGGTGCCTCTGTGGATGTGTAGGCTTTGACTTTAACATAGCCATTTCTGTGACCAGTCACAAGCTAATCACTCAGCTATTTCAATGCTAAATTCTCCTGTTTGATTTCGATTTAAAGCTTTCGTGACTGCAATGATTCATCTTCTTTGGTTATTTCGGTAAAGTCACGTAGAATGAGAATAAAATAATAAATTGATAAAATAAAATAACACAGTAATATTCTCACGACGTTTCGGCCACAACACAAGCGGCCTTCATCAGGTGAAGGGACGAGAATGTCTGGTAGGACAGCGCTGGAGTGAAAGAGCCACGTTCAGATCACGACCTTTAGGCTGTGTGAGAGGAAACAAAGCGCCTTGACAAAGGAATTAGCATATAATTTAGCATTGAAATGGCTGAATGATTAGCTTGTGACTGGTCACAGAAATAGCTATGTTAAAAGTTAAAGCATACACATCCGCAGAGGCACCCATTGTTAAAGGAATTAGCATAGAATTTAGCATTGAAATAGCTAAGTTAAGGCATACACATCCGCAGAGGCACCCCTTGACAATGGAATTAGCATAGAATTTAGCATTGAAATAGCTGAGTGATTAGCTTGTAACTGCTGCAGAAATAGCTACGTTAAAGTCAGAGCATACACATTCACCGAGGCACTTGGTACAAATCAAACAGGAGAATTTAGCATTGAAATAACTAGGCGAATTTAGCATTGAAATAACTGAGTGATTAGCTAGTGACTGGTCACAGAAATGACTACACATCTGAGCTATTCACAGTACTATATAGTGAACCAATAAAAACTAAAATATAAATTACCTTCATGTTATCAATAAACTCTATATTCTCCAATCAGCTAAGCTACCAACAATAAGTCGTTATATATCACAATGCTATATGGCGAGAAAATGGGTGGATTCTTACCCTCAAATTTCAGCACCACGGATAGCTACGGGCCCCGTTCAGACGGACGAGTTCGTCCATGGTCGGAACAGAGGAGGGGGAGAGAGACAGCTGCGAGGCCCTAGTATACTCCATGTTGTAAAACTATACCATTAACCGTGGTGTGAGAGGTATTAAGAGGCAATGCTGGCGAAAGAGCTGCGGTCTGAAGGTCATCGTAAAAATACAATTAATTAAGAACAGAAATGATTTAAAACATCTTTCCAGTGGTTACTAAGCCTGAATCCATCTTCTCGGTTGAAATTGTCTCTGTGCTTGTATATGTGAATGGCCTCATGAACGAATCTCTCATGGTAGCCGGTTGGTTTGCAAAGAACCTCCGTCTTGGAGAAGTCAATGTGAGCCCACTGAATTATAACAGTGATCTGCCACGGCAGAGGAGTTCGTCCTACCGTGTTTCAAGTCTGCTTTATGTTCGCGGATGCGGTCCGAGATATGTCTTTGGTTTCTCCAATGTAGCTACTACCACAGAGGCACTTTAGTTTGTAAACGCCCGGGTACTGTATGTCTGGAACAGCATCTTTTACAGATGGAACTAAATCACGGATTTTATGTACTGTGTTGAATCGGACCTGGATCTTGTGTTTATTCAGGATTTTGGAGGTCTTTTTAGTGACCCCTGCAATGTAGGGTAAGGTGATGGTTTTGATTGGCTCCACAAGAGGATCCTTCTTCATGACTGGAGTGATGGCTTTGCGGATTGTGTAGTCGGAGTAGCCATTAGCCCTGAGAGCCTGGTGTACGTGCTTGAGTTCACTGGTAATGTGTTCCTGGTCGGAAATGCATTGGGCTCTATGGTATAGAGTCTTGATGAGGGAGTTCTTCTGGGATGGATGGTGGTGGGAATCCGGTTTCAAGTAAGCATCTGTATGGGTAGCTTTCCTGTAGACAGAGTGGCTCATTGAGCCATCATGTCTCCTTTTAATTAAGACATCCAAAAAGGGTAGTTTGCCATCTTTTTCGACCTCCATGGTAAATCTGATGGCTGGGTGTATGGAATTGATGTGGTCGCGGAATTGGTCTAGAGCAGGCTGGCCATGTGGCCAGATGACAAAGGTGTCATCAACGTACCTCTTCCATAAGGTCGGGCGTAGAGTGGCAGTCTGGATGGCGTCAGTTTCAAATTTTTCCATGAATACGTTGGCTACAACCGGAGATAGGGGGGAGCCCATTGGGGTGCCCTCAGTTTATTTGTAGAAAGTTCCATTCCAGGTGAAGTATGTGTTGGTTAAGCAATGTCTCACCAGGGGGGTACATCAGTATGCAGTCCTTGATGAACCAGGTCTTCAATGATAGCGATGGTGTCAGGTACCGGGACTTTGGTGAACAAGGACACCACATCAAAACTGACAAGCAGGTCGTTTGGGGACAGGGAAATGCCTTTGATTGTCGATACCAGGTGAGTAGAATTTAGTACCGCAGAGGTGGTTTTTTCCAGTGAAAGGTCGCAGTATATCAGCAAGAAAACGTGCCAGTTGTAGGTGGGGGAGCTGATAGTAGAGACGATGGGACGAAGGGGTGTATCTTCTTTGTGTATCTTTGGAAGGCCATATAATCTTGGTGGTCTGGCAGCAGAGGGTTTCAACAAGAACTGTTTGTTCTCATCAATTAATGCTGTTGAATCAGAGATGATTTTGTTCGTTTTGGTGACCAGGCTGTTGGTGGGATCTCTTTTTATTTTTGTATAGCTGCCATCGTTGAGTAGTTCTTGAATTTTGTTGTTATATTCTGTTTTGTCCATGATGACAGTGGCATTGCCTTTGTCGGCTGAGAGGACAACAATATCATCCCTCTTTTTTAATTGAGATAAGACAAAACGTTCGTCTTTGCTGATGTTGCTGGGTGGCAACTTAGCGTTTTTGAGGGTTGCAGCGATTCAGATCTTGCTACGTCTGCAGAGATGTGACTCAAGCCCTTGAGTGCAACGTCGACATGGGCAATGATATCATTAACCGGTAAGTGTCTCGGTGTGACAGCAAAGTTTAGACCTTTAGCTAAAACGGATTTCAGACCATCAGAAATGGAACTGTTACTGCGATTAATTACGACTTTGTTGACGTCTATCTTTTCGGTGTGTGGATCCGATTTTTTGCTGGAGAGGTGATTGACTTTGGAAATCAAATTGTCCCTACATTTGTTCGACATAGTGGCAGCCGAAGAGGTAGTCATATTGTCTACATGTTCCCAATCCGATGTAGACATTGTTGCTGTCAATTTTAAGTGTGATTTGTAGAGTGTCTTGTCTAACTGATCGATTAGCTTGTAACTTCTGCAGAAATAGCTACGTTAAAGTCAGAGCATACACATTCACCGAGGCACTTGGTACAAATCAAACAGGAGAATTTAGCATTGAAATAACTAGGCGAATTAGCATTGAAATAACTGAGTGATTAGCTAGTGACTGGTCACAGAAATGACTACACATCTGAGCTATTCACAGTACTATATAGTGAACCAATAAAACTAAAATATAAATTACCTTCATGTTATCAATAAACTCTATATTCTCCAATCAGCTAAGCTACCAACAATAAGTCGTTATATATCACAATGCTATATGGCGAGAAAATGGGTGGATTCTTACCCTCAAATTTCAGCACCACGGATAGCTACGGGCCCCGTTCAGACGGACGAGTTCGTCCATGGTCGGAACAGAGGAGGGGGAGAGAGACAGATGCGAGGCCCTAGTATACTCCATGTTGTAAAACTATACCATTAACCGTGGTGTGAGAGGTATTAAGAGGCAATGCTGGCGAAAGAGCTGCGGTCTGAAGGTCATCGTAAAAATACAATTAATTAAGAACAGAAATGATTTAAACATCTTTCCAGTGGTTACTAAGCCTGAATCCATCTTCTCGGTTGAAATTGTCTCTGTGCTTGTATATGTGAATGGCCTCATGAACGAATCTCTCATGGTAGCCGGTTGGTTTGCAAAGAACCTCCGTCTTGGAGAAGTCAATGTGAGCCCACTGAATTATAACAGTGATCTGCCACGGCAGAGGAGTTCGTCCTACCGTGTTTCAAGTCTGCTTTATGTTCGCGGATGCGGTCCGAGATATGTCTTTTGGTTTCTCCAATGTAGCTACTACCACAGAGGCACTTTAGTTTGTAAACGCCCGGGTACTGTATGTCTGGAACAGCATCTTTTACAGATGGAACTAAATCACGGATTTATGTACTGTGTTGAATCGACACACACTATACACTACACTATACACTACACTATACACTACACCATACACTACACGACACACTACACAACACTCTACACTATACACTACACTATACACTACTAATATACACTGCACTATACACTACACACTACACGACACACTACTATACGTATCTGCCCGTGCGTACATCCAGGTGATTCTGGACATGACGTTTGGAGCAGGCGGGCACGCACGTGCCCTGATCGGCATGGGTGCTCAGGTGCTGGCTCTTGACAGGGATCCCGGCTCCTTCGAGCTGGCTCGCCATCTGGCTCAATCGCACGGGTACACGGGGAACTCGCTCTCTGGCTCTCTGTCTTATTGACTCACTCCTCACCACACTGGGGAAACTCGCTCTCTGGCTCTCTGTCTTATTGACTCACTCCTCAATCACATGGGGGAAACTCTCTCTCCTGTCTGACTCACTCACTCCTCACCCACACTGGGAACTCTCTCTCTGGCTCTCTGTCTGACTCACTCACACCACACGGGAGAACTCGCTCTCTGTCTCTCTGTCTGTCTGACTCACCACCACATGGGGAAACTCTCTCTCTGTCTCTCTCTGTCTGTCTGACTCACTCATCACCACATGGGGAAACTCTCTCTCTGTCTGACTCACTCACTCCTCACCACACTGGGAACTCTCTCTCTGGCTCTCTGTCTGACTCACTCACCACCACACGGGAGAACTCGCTCTCTGTCTCTCTGTCTGTCTGACTCACCACCACATGGGGAAACTCTCTCTCTGTCTCTCTCTGTCTGTCTGACTCACTCATCACCACATGGGGAAACTCGCTCTGTCTCTGTCTGACTCACTCACTCCTCACCACACTCGGGAACTCTCTCTCTGGCTCTCTGTCTGACTCACTCCACCACCACACGGGGGAACTCGCTCTCTGTCTCTCTGTCTGACTCACTCACTCACCACCACACGGGGGAACTCCTCTGTCTCTGTCTCTCTGTCTGACTCACTCACTCCTCACCATACGGGGAACTCGCTCTCTGTCTCTCTGTCTGACTCACTCACTCCTCACCACACTGGGAACTCTCTCTGTCTCTCTGTCTGACTCACTCACCACATGGGGAAACTCTCTATCTGTCTCTCTGTCTGTCTGACTCACTCACTCCTCACCACACGGGAGAACTCGCTCTCTGTCTCTCTCTGTCTGACTCACTCACCACCACATGGGGAAACTCTCTCTCTGTCTCTCTGACTCACTCACTCCTCACCACACGGGGAAACTCGCTCTCTCTGTCTCTCTGTCTGACTCACTCACTCCTCACCACACTGGGAAACTCGCTCTCTGTCTCTCTCTGTCTGACTCACTCACTCCTCACCACACGGGGGAAACTCGCTCTCTGTCTCTCTGTCTGTCTCACTCACTCCTCACCACACTGGGGAACTCCTCTGTCTCTGTCTGACTCACTCACTCCTCACCACACGGGGGAAACTCTCTCTCTGTCTCTCTGTCTGTCTGACTCACTCACTCCTCACCACCAAATGGGGAAACTCTCTCTCTGTCTCTCTGTCTGTCTGACTCACTCACTCACCACCACACGGGGAAACTCGCTCTCTGTCTCTCTGTCTGACTCACTCACTCCTCACCACACGGGTGACTCTCTCTGTCTCTCTGTCTGACTCACTCACTCCTCACCACACGGGATAACTCGCTCTGTCTCTCTGTCTGTCTGACTCACCACACGGTGAACTCGCTCTCTGTCTCTCTGTCTGACTCACTCACCACCACAAGGGGAACCCTCTCTCTGTCTGACTCTCTCTCTCTCTGTCTGACTCACTCCTCACCACATGGGGGAACTCACTCTGTCTCTCTGTCTGACTCACTCCTCACCACATGGGGAAACTCGCTCTCTGTCTCTCTGTCTGACTCACTCACTCCTCACCACACGGGGGACTCTCTCTGTCTCTCTGTCTGACTCACTCACTCCTCACCACATGGGGGAACTCGCTCTGTCTCTCCTGTCTGACTCACTCCCTCACCACATGGGGAACTCGCTCTCTGTCTCTCTGTCTGTCTGACTCACCACACTGGGAAACTCCTCTCTCTCTGTCTGACTCACTCACTACAAGGGGAACTCTTCTCTCTCTCTCTGTCTGACTCACTCCTCCCCACACGGGGGAAACTCTCTCTCTGTCTCTCTGTCTGACTCACTCCTCACCACACTTTGAACTCGCTCTCTGTCTCTCTGTCTGACTCACTCCTCACCACACGGGGAACTCTCTCTGTCTCTCTGTCTCTCTGTCTGTCTCACTCACTCCTCACCACACGGGGGAAACTCGCTCTCTGTCTCTCTGTCTGACTCACTCACTCCTCACCACACGGGAGAACTCGCTCTCTCTCTCTGTCTGACTCACTCCTCACCACACTGGGAACTCTCTCTCTGTCTCTCTGTCTCTCTGTCTGACTCACTCACTCCTCACCACATGGGGAAACTCGCTCTCTGTCTCTCTCTGTCTGACTCACTCACCACCACACGGGGAACTCTCTCTCTGTCTCTCTGTCTGACTCACTCCTCACCACATGGGGAAACTCGCTCTCTCTCTGTCTGACTCACTCACCACACTGGGAACTCTCTCTGTCTGTCTGTCTGACTCACTCACCACACTGGGGAACTCGCTCTCTGTCTCTCTGTCTGACTCACCACCACATGGGGAAACTCTCTCTCTGTCTCTCTGTCTGACTCACTCACTCCTCACCACACGGGGGGACTCGCTCTCTCTGTCTGTCTGACTCACTCACTCCTCACCACACGGGGGGACTCGCTCTCTCTGTCTGTCTGACTCACTCAACACATGGGGGAACTCGCTCTCTCTCTCTGTCTGAGTCACTCACCACACTGGGAACTCTATCTCTGTCTGACTCACTCACTACACTGGGAACTCTCTCTGTCTCTCTGTCTGACTCACTCACCACAAGGGGAACTCTCTCTCTGTCTGACTCACTCACCACACTGGGAACTCTCTCTGTCTCTCTGTCTGACTCACCACACGGGGAAACTCGCTCTCTGTCTCTCTGTCTGACTCACTCACCAAACGGGGAAACGCTCTCTCTCTCCCTGTCTGACTCACTCCTCACCACACTGGGAACTCTCTCTCTCTCTCTGTCTGACTCACTCACCACATGGGGAACTCTCTCTCTGTCTCTCTCTGTCTGACCCACTCACTACACTGGAACTCGCCCTCTCTCTCTCTCTGTCTGACTCACTCACCACATGGGGGAACTCTCTCTGTCTCTCTGTCTGACTCACTCCTCACCACACGGGAAACTCGCCCTCTCTCTGTCTGACTCACTCACCACAAGGGGAACTCTCTCTCTGTCTGACTCACTCACCACAAGGGGAACTCTCTCTCTGTCTCTCTGTCTGACTCACTCACCACATGGGGGAACTCACTCTCTGTCTCTCTGTCTGACTCACTCACCACATGGGGGAACTCACTCTCTGTCTCTCTGTCTGACTCACTCACCAAACGGGGGAACTCTCTCTCTGTCTCTCTGTCTGACTCACTCCTCACCACACTGGGAACTCTCTCTCTCTCTCTGTCTGACTCACTCACCACACTGGGAACTCTCTCTCTCTCTGTCTGACTCACTCACCAGACGGTGGAACTCGCTCTCTCTCTGTGTCTGACTCACCACAAGGGGAACTCTCTCTCTCTCTGTCTGACTCACTCACCACATGGGGAACTCTCTCTCTGGCTCTCTGTCTGACTCACTCACCACCACACGGGGGAAACTCTCTCTCTCTCTCTCTGTCTGACTCACTCCTCACCACACGGGGGAACTCGCTGTCCCTCTCTCTGTCTGACTCACTCCTCACCACAAGGGGAAAACCTCTCTGTCTCTGTCTGACTCACTCCTCACCACACTGGGAACTCTCTCTCTGTCTGACTCACTCCTCACCACACTGGGAACTCTCTCTGTCTGACTCACTCACCACACTGGGAACTCTCTCTCTCTCTGTCTGACTCACTCACCACACGGTGGAACTCGCTCTCTCTCTGTGTCTGACTCACCACAAGGGGAACTCTCTCTCTCTCTCTGTCTGACTCTCTCTCTCTCTCTGTCTGACTCACTCACCACAAGGGGAACTCTCTCTCTCTCTCTGTCTGACTCACTCACTCCTCACCACAAGGGGGAACTCTCTCTCTCTCTCTGTGTGACTCACTCACCACAAGGGGGAACTCTCTCTCTGTCTGACTCACTCACCACACTGGGAACTCTCTCTCTCTGTCTGTCTGACTCACTCCACTACACTGGGAACTCTCTCTGTCTCTCTGTCCTGTCTGACTCACTCACCACAAGGGAACTCTCTCTCTCTGTCTCTCTCTGTCTGACTCACTCACCACACTGGAACTCGCTCTCTCTCTCTCTGTCTCACTCACTCACCACATGGGGGAACTCTCTCTCTGACTCTCTGTCTGACTCACTCACTCCTCACCACACTGGGAACTCCTCTGTCTCTCTGTCTGACTCACCACCACACGGGAAACGCTCTCTCTGTCTCTCTGTCTGACTCACTCACTACACTGGGAACTCTCTCTCTGTCTCTCTGTCTGACTCACTCACTCCTCACCACACTGGGAACTCCTCTGTCTCTCTGTCTGACTCACTCACTCACCACACGGTGGAACTCGCTCTCTCTCTCTGTGTCTGACTCACTCACCACAAAGGGGAACTCGCTCTCTCTCTGTCTGACTCACTCACCACACACACACACGTGTCTATACACACACACACACGTGTCTACACACACACACACGTGTGTAGACACACACACACACGTGTCTACACACACACACACGTGTGTAGACACACACACACACACGTGTGTAGACACGTGTGTGTGTGTGTCTATACACACACACACGTGTCTACACACACACACACGTGTGTAGACACACACACACACACACGTGTGTAGACACGTGTGTGTGTGTCTATACACACACACACACGTGTGTATACACGTGTGTGTGTGTGTGTGTAGACACACGTGTGTGTGTGTGTGTAGACACGTGTGTGTGTGTGTGTCTACACGTGTGTGTGTGTATAGACACACGTGTGTGTGTGTGTCTACACGTGTGTGTGTGTGTGTCTACACGTGTGTGTGTGTGTGTGTCTACACGTGTGTGTGTGTGTGTGTCTACACGTGTGTGTGTGTGTGTGTCTACACGTGTGTGTGTGTGTGTGTATACACACGTGTGTGTGTGTGTGTGTCTACACACGTGTGTGTGTGTGTATACACACGTGTGTGTGTGTGTCTACACACGTGTGTGTGTGTGTATACACACGTGTGTGTGTGTGTCTACACACGTGTGTGTGTGTGTATACACACGTGTGTGTGTGTGTGTATAGACACGTGTGTGTGTGTGTGTCTACACACGTGTGTGTGTGTGTCTACACACGTGTGTGTGTGTGTATACACACGTGTGTGTGTGTGTCTACACACGTGTGTGTGTGTGTATACACACGTGTGTGTGTGTGTCTACACACGTGTGTGTGTGTGTATACACACGTGTGTGTGTGTGTATACACACGTGTGTGTGTGTGTCTACACACGTGTGTGTGTGTGTCTACACACGTGTGTGTGTGTATAGACACGTGTGTGTGTGTGTGTGTCTACACACGTGTGTGTGTGTGTAGACACACGTGTGTGTGTGTGTGTCTACACACGTGTGTGTGTGTGTAGACACACGTGTGTGTGTGTGTGTCTACACACGTGTGTGTGTGTGTCTACACACGTGTGTGTGTGTGTGTGTGTCTACACGTGTGTGTGTGTGTAGACACGTGTGTGTGTGTGTGTCTACACACGTGTGTGTGTGTGTCTACACACGTGTGTGTGTGTGTGTGTCTACACGTGTGTGTGTGTGTGTAGACACGTGTGTGTGTGTGTGTCCTACACACGTGTGTGTGTGTGTGTGTCTACACGTGTGTCTGTTATGTATGTACACGTGTGTGTGTGTGTGTCTACACGTGTGTCTGTTATGTATGTACACGTGTGTGTGTGTGTGTGTCTACACGTGTGTGTGTGTGTGTAGACACGTGTGTGTGTGTGTGTCTACACACGTGTGTGTGTGTGTCTACACACGTGTGTGTGTGTGTGTGTAGACACGTGTGTGTGTGTGTAGACACGTGTGTGTGTGTGTCTACACACGTGTGTTGAGAGAGTCGCCCGCGCGTCCCGTCACGACCCGGACCGCTCGCCACTCCCCTACCCACCCCACCCACCCCCCTACCCCCCCCCCTACCCCCCCCTACCCCCCCTACCCCGGCAGTGGTTCGCTCCGTCCCCTGCTGGGCCGCATTTCGGAGCTGCCCAAGTTGCTGAGCTTGGCGGGGGTCGCCGCCGGCTCGCTGGACGGCGTCCTCATCGACGCCGGCTGCTCCTCACTGCAGATGGACGACGCCTCGCGCGGATTCTCGCTCAGCCGCGACGGGCCCCTGGACATGCGCATGGGCGGGGAGCGGGGAGGCCGGGGATGGGGGGGTGTGGGGGGGCTGGGGGGGGGGGGAGCGGTGGGGCTGGGGGGTGGGGGAGTGGTGGGGCTGGGGAGGGGAGTGGTGGGGCTGGGGGTGGGGAGTGGTGGGGCTGGGGGTGGGGAGTGGTGGGGCTGGGGAGGGGAGTGGTGAGGCCGGGGTGGAGAGCGGTGGGGCCGGGGTGGGGAGCGGTGGGGCTGGGATGGGGCTGGGGGCTGTGTGTCACACTGTGTGTGTGTGTCACAGTGTGTGTGTGTGTGTCACAGCGTGTGTGTGTGTGTCACAGCGTGTGTGTGTGTCACACTGTGTGTGTATCACACTGTGGCAAAAACAACCCCCTACCTCCTCGCGGTGCCGGACGGGCAACTCTGTCGTGGACAGCGCTGTGGGGGGAGATCCAATTTTGATTGGCTCCTCCCCTCATGGCATATGTGTCCACCACAGGGGCTAAACGGGGGCTCTGGACGGGTGCGAGGGGCTGGTAACCCCTCCACCTTCAATTAATTACCACGAAACTACGAATTAAACTGAAATATGTAACAACTAAGCTTGTGCCGGAGGCCCCGGGGGGCCAGGCGTCTATGACGTCTCCTGGCCAAACCCCAATTGGTGGAGCCAGGAGATTGAATACCTACCCTCGGGGCTACTCCAGAAACAACGAAAAGCCACTACGGTTGGCCACGTGGAATGTTCGAACGCTCACTGCAGAGGAGAGGCTGCCACTCCTCTGTCGGGAGCTGGACCGGTACCGCCTGGATCTATGCGGTATTCAGGAGGTCCGGTGGACCGGCTCTGGCTCCTGCCACCATGAGGGGTGGACAGTCCTCTACTCGGGGCAGCAGACTGCCAAACAACAGGGTGTGGGTCTTCTTTTGAACAAAAGAATGAAGGGGGCGTGGGAGCGGGGCGGTGAGGTGTGGGAAGCTGTAAGCCCCAGGCTACTTTGGGCTCGCCTTCCCATCAACCGGAGGCGAGGAATGGTGGTCGTGGTTACTTATGCCCCCACCGAAGATGAACATCTGTGGAGGGATGCAGGCAAAGCCGATGAGTCAGATGCCTTCTATGACCTCCTGTCACAGGTGCTGGCTAAAGTGGCCCCTCGGGATAGAGTCATCATGTTGGGTGACTTCAATGCCCGAGTTGGTCATGATACTGGCACCTGGTCTGGAGTGATTGGAGGGCATGGGCCAGATCAGCTCAATAACAACGGTAGGAGGCTGCTAGATTTTTGTGCAGCCCATGGGCTTGTAATTACCAACACGCTGTTCCGGCATCGGCGCATCCACACAACATCATGGATGCATGCCGGGTCCAAGCAAGAACATCTGCTGGACTACATAGTGACGGACCAGCGAATGCGAGCCCATGTCCTTGACACCAGGACCTACCGTGGAGCTGATCTGCCCTCTGACCATCGACTAGTCATCTGTAAGATGCGCCTGCCATTCTTCCACTCCGGTGGTGGGTGTACACCCAGGACCCCATTCCAACCTAAAGTGGCCTGGTCTCAGTTATCTGATGAAAGTTGCAGGCGAGAATTTCATCATCGCTTGCGGCTGGGATTGGCATCGTCCCCGACTCCTCCTGATGTCGAGGGTAAATGGGCGAGGTTTAGGACTGTGACTCATGCAGCTGCAATGGCTGCTTTGGGTACGCGGTCCAGACCTCCCCAGACACCCTGGATGACAGAGGAGCTGTTCACGATGGTTGAGAAAAAGCGACAGGCCCACTGTCATCGGCTACAGAATCCCACGTCAGAGAATGAGGAGGCTTACCGCAGCCTTCGCTCGGAGGTTCGGAGAGCCGTGAGGCGCTGCAAGGATGGGTGGTGGTCGCGGGTTGCTGAGGAGATGGAGTCTGCCTCAGTGGCCCGTGATCACAAATCTCTATTTAACTCCATCAAAAAAGTAACCTGCAGCGCCACACCTATTACCATCATTAGGGGAAAAAACGGTGATCCAATTTCCGACCCCCAGGAACAGGTTCGCAGATTTGCTGAGCATTTCTGTGAGGTCCTGGGGGAGGGAAAATCCCTCAGCCAGGAAAACATCGTGGCACAAAGTGAGGATGACCCTGCTGAGGCTGCGGTGCCTCAAATATTGGATGAAGTCACCCCCTGTGAGTGGCTGGCTGAGGTGCCATCTGCTGAGGAAGTATTGAAGGCGATCCGGAGTCTGAGACCAGGAAAGGCAGCGGGCAGAGATGATCTCCCAAGCGAAATGCTGAGGGAGGGTGGCGTTTGTGCACAGACTGCCCTATATGACATCATAACAACAGTCTGGACCACTGGACGGGTTCCGCAGGATTGGAAGGATGCCCTGGTGGTCCCCCTTCTTAAAAAGGGGGACCGCACAGACTGTAACAACTACAGGGGCATCTCACTCCTCAGTGTGCCGGGAAAGGTCCTGGCAAGGATTATTCAGCATCGGCTTGCCAGGCACGCTGAGGAGAGGCTTGCGGAGCCCCAATGCGGTTTCAGGAAAGGGCGGGTCCTGCACAGATGCCATATTTTCTGTCCGTCTGCTACAGCAGAGGTGTAGGGAATTCCAACAAGACCTACATCTCTGCTTTATTGACCTGGTAAAGGCCTATGATACCATCAGTAGGCCTGGGCTCTGGGTCGTTCTTCGTGCTTTTGGAGTACCTGACCCTCTGCTCACGATCATTAAGGACCTTCATGATGGTGAGCGGGCCCGGGTAAAACTACGTGGCCGGGAGTCAGAGCCATTCCCTGTACACCTTGGGGTGCGACAGGGATGTCCTCTGGCTCCCACATTATTTAACATCTATTTTGACCACGTAGTTCGTGAAGCCTTCAATAGCTGTACCGGGGGAATCTCCATATGGTACAGATATAATGGGAGGCTAATCGATGCCCGGGTGCGGTCAAGGGATGGCTCCCTATTGCTCAACCACGTTATGTATGCTGATGACTTGGTAATAGCTGCTCAGTCAGAGGAGGAGTTGGAGACGCTGCTGCTGAGACTGGAGCGTGCCACTAAGAGGTGGGGCCTTACCATCAGCCCCACCAAAACTAAGCACCTGCCTGGGTATTTTGTACCATCGGACACTCCACCCCCACAACTCCCAATCGGTGATGGGGCAGTTGTGGAGAGAGTGGAGAGTTTCCCATACCTGGGCAGTGTGCTTATGACTGGCTCCAGTTTAACAGCAGAGGTCTCACTCCGAATCAGTCGAGCGGCAATATCTTTTCATCGGTTGCGTAACGCTGTGTGGAAGCTACCTGGTCTGTCGCTCCGCACTAAGCTTCAGGTCTTCTCGGCCACGGTCATTCCCTCCCTTCTCTACGCTTGCGAAACGTGGACCCCCCTAATGGAACATCTTCGCCGGTTAGAAACATTTAGGCTGGCCTGCCTACGATCCATCCTGGGTTTAACCAGACTGGATTGTGTGAGGAGCTCACAAATCCTTGAAAGATCTGGGCAGGGTCCCATCGGTGAGCTCCTCCGGCAGGCAAGGCTGCGATGGCTGGGTCATGTAGCCCGCATGCCCAGCCACCGCATGCCGAAACAGCTTTTGTTTGGCCGGATTGAGGGGGCTAAGCGGGCGCGGCACGGGCTAGAGAAGAGATGGAGTGATGTGGTACAGGAGGACGTGGAGCTGAGTGGACTTGCCGATGACTGGTACCAGCGGTGTCAAGATCGGCCTCTGTGGAGGAGGCTCGTGAAGGATGCTACTGGGCAGTTGGAGGCAGTCGCCCTCCAACAACAACGGAGGGCGGAGGAGCGACGCTCACAACAGCGAGCGGAGCGCCGGGTGGCTAAAGCACAGCAGGTTGGCACAGTAGGGGGCACAGGTGGTGCATCAGCCAGTCATCTCAGTCAGTCGACCCGTGGCACCTGGGTCTGCCCCGTGACCTCCTGCCAGCGGGCGTTCGACACTTCACGTGGCCTCAGGGTGCACATGGCCTGGCACAAGCGTCGTGGTGACGTCACCGCCACTTAGTGGCGAATGGCGGTTGTTGTTGTGTGTCACACTGTGTGTGTGTGTGTGTATCACACTGTGTGTGTGTATCACACTGTGTGTGTGTGTCACAGTGTGTGTGTGTGTCACACTGTGTGTGTGTGTATCACACTGTGTGTGTGTATCACACTGTGTGTGTGTGTCACAGTGTGTGTGTGTGTCACACTGTGTGTGTCACACTGTGTGTGTCACAGCGTGTGTGTGTGTGTCACACATGTGTGTGTGTGTATCACACTGTGTGTGTGTGTATCACACCGTGTGTGTGTGTGTCACACTGTGTGTGTGTATCACACTGTGTGTGTGTATTACACTGTGTGTGTGTATTACACTGTGTGTGTGTATCACACTGTGTGTGTGTATTACACTGTGTGTGTGTATCACACTGTGTGTGTGTGTATCACACCGTGTGTGTGTATTACACTGTGTGTGTGTATCACACTGTGTGTGTGTGTATCACACTGTGTGTGTATCACACCGTGTGTGTGTATCACACCGTGTGTGTGTATCACACTGTGTGTGTGTGTCACACTGTGTGTGTGTGTCACACTGTGTGTGTGTGTGTCACACTGTGTGTGTGTGTCACTGTGTGTGTGTCACACTGTGTGTGTGTGTATCACACTGTGTGTGTCACACTGTGTGTGTGTATCACACTGTGTGTGTCACTGTGTGTGTGTGTCACACTGTGTGTGTGTATCACACTGTGTGTGTATCACACTGTGTGTCTATCACACCGTGTGTGTGTGCGTATCACACTGTGTGTGTGTATCACACTGTGTGTGTATCACACTGTGTGTGTCACACTGTGTGTGTGTGTCACACTGTGTGTGTGTATCACACTGTGTGTGTATCACACTGTGTGTCTATCACACCGTGTGTGTGTGTGCGTATCACACTGTGTGTGTGTGTCACACTGTGTGTGTGTCACACTGTGTGTGTGTGTGTCACAGCGTGTGTGTGTGTCACACTGTGTGTGTGTCACACACTGTGTGTGTGTCACACCGTGTGTGTGTGTCACACCGTGTGTGTGTGTGTCACACTGTGTGTGTGTGTCACACTGTGTGTGTGTCACACTGTGTGTGTGTCACACTGTGTGTGTGTCACACTGTGTGTGTCACACTGTGTGTGTGTGTGTCACACTGTGTGTGTGTGTGTGTCACTGTGTGTGTGTGTGTCACCGTGTGTGTGTGTGTGTGTATCACACTGTGTGTGTGTGTCACACCGTGTGTGTGTGTGTGCGTGTCCCAGCGAGCCCGAGAGTCCCACTGCCTACGAGGTCTTGCGTGGGCTCCCCGAGCCGGCGCTGGCCTCCGTGCTGCACGTGTGTGTGTGTCACACTGTGTGTGTGTATCACTGTGTGTGTGTGTATCACTGTGTGTGTGTCACACTGTGTGTGTGTGTGTGTCACACTGTGTGTGTGTATCACACTGTGTGTGTGTCACACCGTGTGTGTGTATCACACTGTGTGTGTGTGTGTATCACAGCGTGTGTCACTGTGTGTGTGTGTGTATCACACCGTGTGTGTGTCACACTGTGTGTGTGTCACTGTGTGTGTGTCACTGTGTGTGTGTCACACTGTGTGTGTGTGTCACTGTGTGTGTGTCACACCGTGTGTGTGTGTGTGTCACACCGTGTGTGTATCACACCGTGTGTGTGTGTGTGTCACACTGTGTGTGTGTCACTGTGTGTGTGTGTCACACTGTGTGTGTATCACACCGTGTGTGTGTCACACCGTGTGTGTGTGTGTGTCACACCGTGTGTGTATCACACCGTGTGTGTGTGTGTGTCACACTGTGTGTGTGTCACTGTGTGTGTGTGTCACACTGTGTGTGTATCACACCGTGTGTGTGTCACACCGTGTGTGTGTGTGTATCACACTGTGTGTGTGTGTGTGTCACACTGTGTATGTGTGTGTGTCACACTGTGTGTGTATCACACTGTGTGTGTGTCACACCGTGTGTGTGTGTCACACCGTGTGTGTGTGTCACACCGTGTGTGTGTGTGTGTCACTGTGTGTGTATCACAGCGTGTGTGTATCACACCGTGTGTGTGTGTGTGTGTGTCCCAGCGAGCCCGAGAGTCCCACTGCCTACGAGGTCTTGCGTGGGCTCCCCGAGCCGGCGCTGGCCTCCGTGCTCCGCCGCTACGGTGAGGAGCGGCACTCTCGCTCCATCGCCCGGGCCGTAGCCGGGGCCCTCTCTGCCGGCCTGCCCATCCGGACCACGCGGCAGCTGGCGATGGTGGTGGCTGGTGGGTGGGTGGGTGGGTGAGGTGGGGGGTGGGGGAGGGTGGCGGCGCGGGTTGGGGCGGGGTTTGTCATCGTCATCATCATCGTCATCATCATCATAGTCATAGTCATCGTCATCATCGTCGTCATAGTCATAGTCATCGTCGTCGTCATCATCGTCGTCATAGTCAGTCATCGTCATCATCGTCGTCATCGTCATCATCGTCGTCATCATCGTCATCATCGTCGTCGTCATCATCGTCATCGTCGTCATAGTCATCGTCGTCATCGTCATCATCATCGTCATCATCATCATCATCATCGTAATCATTATTGTCATCGTCATCGTCGTCATCATCGTCATCGTCATCATCATCATCATCGTCATCATCATCGTCATCATCATCGTCATCATCATCATCGTCATCATCATCATCGTCATCATCATCATCATCATCGTCATCTCCGTGATTCGAAGCTTTCGTGACTGCAGGAATCACCACCACCACCCACCCCCCTTTATGGTTTGTCCCAGTAAAGTCACGTAGAAATGAGAAGTAATAATAATAAAACAACAACTACAACTACACCACCACCACGGCTTTGCATGGGTTCCTAAATGTTTGCTAAAACCCTGCTTTTTGCGTGGTGTGCTTCTCCCCCTCTGTGTCCCCTGCTGTGTCTGTGTCAGTTCACCACCTTTTGCTCGTGGTGGTGTGGTGTGGTGGTGTGGTGGTGTGTGTGTCTGCGTGTGCATCTGGAGCCATGTGGTTTTTTCCACCCCTCTCCCTCCCCCGCGCCGCTCCTCCTCTTCGTGAATGTAGCCCTCCCGTGCCCGACGACGGCTGTCCGTGTTGCTGTCGGGAGCGGCCCTGGCACCGCCACGTTGGTTCATCATTCCTTATTCGTGCGTGACTTTTCCGATGTAAAAAACGCAAAGAGCCGCGGCCGCCGCCGCCATCATCGTCATCATCTTAAGCTTCGTGGTAGACCCGTCAAAGAAAGTTAACCGGCACCGCCACAGCTACAATCGCCATCGTCAGACGGGGAGAGGGGAAAAAAACACGGGGATCCAATCTCCGATCCCACCCCCCACGCCCACCAGGAACAGGTTTTGAAGAATTCGCTGAGTGTTTCTGTATGTGTGCCGGACGGGCAACTCTGTCGTGGACAGTGCTGTGGGGGGAGATCCAATTTTTGATTGGCTCCTCCCCTCATGGCATATGTGTCCACCACAGGGGCTAAACGGGGGCTCTGGACGGGTGCGAGGGGCTGGTAACCCCTCCACCTTCAATTAATTACCACTAAACCACGAATTAAGTATATAACTAATAAGCTTGTGCCGGAGGCCCCGGGGGGCCAGGCGTCTATGACGTCTCCTGGCCAAACCCCAATTGGCGGAGCCAGGAGATTGAATACCTACCCTCGGGGCTACTCCAGAAACAACGAAAAGCCACTACGGGTGGCCACGTGGAATGTTCGAACGCTCACTGCAGAGGAGAGGCTGCCACTCCTCTGTCGGGAGCTGGACCGGTACCGCCTGGATCTATGCGGCATTCAGGAGGTCCGGTGGACCGGCTCTGGCTCCTGCCACCATGAGGGGTGGACAGTCCTCTACTCGGGGCAGCAGACTGCCAAACAACAGGGTGTGGGTCTTCTTTTGAACAAAAGAATGAAGGGGACGTGGGAGCGTGGCGGTGAGGTGTGGGAAGCTGTAAGCCCCAGGCTACTTTGGGCTCGCCTTCCCATCAACCGGAGGCGAGGAATGGTGGTCGTGGTTACTTATGCCCCCACCGAAGATGAACATCCGTGGAGGGATGCAGGCAAAGCCGATGAGTCAGATGCCTTCTATGACCTCCTGTCACAGGTGCTGGCTAAAGTGGCCCCTCGGGATAGAGTCATCATGTTGGGTGACTTCAATGCCTGAGTTGGTCATGATACTGGCACCTGGTCTGGAGTGATTGGAGGGCATGGGCCAGATCAGCTCAATAACAACGGTAGGAGGCTGCTAGATTTTTATGCAGCCCATGGGCTTGTAATTACCAACACGCTGTTCCGGCATCGGCGCATCCACACAACATCATGGATGCATGCCGGGTCCAAGCAAGAACATCTGCTGGACTACATAGTGACGGACCAGCGAATGCGAGCCCATGTCCTTGACACCAGGACCTACCGTGGAGCTGATCTGCCCTCTGACCATCGACTAGTCATCTGTAAGATGCGCCTGCCATTCTTCCACTCCGGTGGTGGGTGTACACCCAGGACCCCATTCCAACATAAAGTGGCCTGGTCTCAGTTATCTGATGAAAGTTGCAAGCGAGAATTTCATCATCGCTTGCAGCTGGGATTGGCATCGTCCCCGACTCCTCCTGATGTCGAGGGTAAATGGGTGAGGTTTAGGACTGTGACTCATGCAGCTGCAATGGCTGCTTTGGGTACGCGGTCCAGACTTCCCCAGAGACCCTGGCTGACAGAGGAGGTGTTCAGGATGGTTGAGAAAAAGCGACAGGCCCACTGTCATCGGCTACAGAATCCCACGTCAGAGAATGAGGAGGCTTACCGCAGCCTTCGCTCGGAGGTTCGGAGAGCCGTGAGGCGCTGCAAGGATGGGTGGTGGTCGCGGGTTGCTGAGGAGATGGAGTCTGCCTCAGTGGCCCGTGATCACAAATCTCTATTTAACTCCACCAAAAAAGTAACCTGCAGCGCCACACCTATTACCATCATTAGGGGAAAAAACGGTGATCCAATCTCCGACCCCCAGGAACAGGTTCGCAGATTTGCTGAGCATTTCTGTGAGGTCCTGGGGGAGGGAAAATCCCTCAGCCAGGAAGACATCGTGGCACAAAGTGAGGATGACCCTGCTGAGGCTGCGGTGCCTCAAATATTGGAAGAAGTCACCCCCTGTGAGTGGCTGGCTGAGGTGCCATCTGCTGAGGAAGTATTGAAGGCGATCCGGAGTCTGAGACCAGGAAAGGCAGCGGGCAGAGATGATCTCCCAAGCGAAATGCTGAGGGAGGGTGGCGTTTGTGCACAGACTGCCCTATATGACATCATAACAACAGTCTGGACCACTGGACGGGTTCCGCAGGATTGGAAGGATGCCCTGGTGGTCCCCCTTTTTAAGAAGGGGGACCGCACAGACTGTAACAACTACAGGGGCATCTCACTCCTCAGTGTGCCGGGAAAGGTCCTGGCAAGGATTATTCAGCATCGCCTTGCCAGGCACGCTGAGGAGAGGCTTGCGGAGCCCCAATGCGGTTTTCAGGAAAGGGCGGTCCTGCACAGATGCCATATTTTCTGTCCGTCTGCTACAGCAGAGGTGTAGGGAATTCCAACAAGACCTACATCTCTGCTTTATTGACCTGGTCAAGGCCTATGATACCATCAGTAGGCCTGGGCTCTGGGTCGTTCTTCGTGCTTTTGGAGTACCTGACCCTCTGTTCACGATCATTAAGGACCTTCATGATGGTGAGCGGGCCCGGGTAAAACTACGTGGCCGGGAGTCAGAGCCATTCCCTGTACACCTTGGGGTGCGACAGGGATGTCCTCTGGCTCCCACATTATTTAACATCTATTTTGACCACGTAGTTCGTGAAGCCTTCAATAGCTGTACCGGGGGAATCTCCATATGGTAGAGATATAATGGGAGGCTAATCGATGCCCGGGTGCGGTCAAGGGATGGCTCCCTATTGCTCAACCACGTTATGTATGCTGATGATTTGGTAATAGCTGCTCAGTCAGAGGAGGAGTTGGAGACGCTGCTGCTGAGACTGGAGCGTGCCACTAAGAGGTGGGGCCTTATCATCAGCCCCACCAAAACTAAGCACCTGCCTGGGTATTTTGTACCATCGGACACTCCACCCCCACAACTCCCAATCGGTGATGGGGCAGTTGTGGAGAGAGTGGAGAGTTTCCCATACCTGGGCAGTGTGCTTATGACCGGCTCCAGTTTAACAGCAGAGGTTTCACTCCGAATCAGTCGAGCGGCAATATCTTTTCATCGGTTGCGTAACGCTGTGTGGAAGCTACCTGGTCTGTCGCTCCGCACTAAGCTTCAGGTCTTCTCGGCCACGGTCATTCCCTCCCTTCTCTACGCTTGCGAAACGTGGACCCCCCTAGTGGAACATCTTCGCCGGTTAGAAACATTTAGGCTGGCCTGCCTACGATCCATCCTGGGTTTAACCAGACTGGATTGTGTGAGGAGCTCACAAATCCTTGAAAGATCTGGGCAGGGTCCCATCGGTGAGCTCCTCCGGCAGGCAAGGCTGCGATGGCTGGGTCATGTAGCCCGCATGCCCATCCACCGCATGCCGAAACAGCTTTTGTTTGGCCGGATTGAGGGGGCTAAGCGGGCGCGGCACGGGCTAGAGAAGAGATGGAGTGATGTGGTACAGGAGGACGTGGAGCTGAGTGGACTTGCCGATGACTGGTACCAGCGGTGTCAAGATCGGCCTCTGTGGAGGAGGCTCGTGAAGGATGCTACTGGGCAGTTGGAGGCAGTCGCCCTCCAACAACAACGGAGGGCGGAGGAGCGACGCTCAGAACAACGAGCGGAGCGCCGGGTGGCTAAAGCACAGCAGGTTGGCACAGTAGGGGGCACAGGTGGTGCATCAGCCACAGTCATCTCAGTCAGTCGACCCGTGGCACCTGGGTCTGCCCCGTGACCTCCTGCCAGCGGGCGTTCGACACTTCACGTGGCCTCACGGTGCACATAGCCTGGCACAAGCGTCGTGGTGACGTCACCGCCACTTAGTGGCGAATGGCGGTTCTTGTTGTTGTCTGTGTCTTTGTGTACAGGAGTGTGTCTGTGTGTGTGTGTCTGTTAGTGTGTACAGGAGTGTGTCTGTGTGTGTGTCTGTTAGTGTGTGTGTGTGTGTGTGAGGCCCTGGCTGGTTGAACGGGGGGAGGGAAAAATCCCTCCCGGGCCGGGGGGAAAAAAAAACCCATCGTGGGTGGATGACCCTGCCCGAGGCCAGCCAGCCACTCACCCCTCACCCCTGTGAGTTGGCCGGCCGAGGTGCCGCCGCCCGTTGGGGAAAGTACCGAGGGCCGACCCCCGGGGGCGTCTTGACAACCGCGGGAGGGGCAGCGGGGATGGAGGCGATCCTCCCGGGCGAAAAGGTGCAGCCTCCATCACCTCGGCGAAATTTTTGCCGAGGGGGTCCAGCCTTAGGCCTGGGCCCGCCGGACGGGTTCCGCAGGATTCGGGAAGGATGCCCTGCAGGGGCGTCTCGCTGCTCGGCGTGAGGCCGGGGAAAAGGGGTCCCCCTGGCGAGGATGATTCAGCATCGCCTACGCCCAGGCACGCATGAGGAGAGGCTCGCGGAAGCCACGCGGGTGCCGTTTCTTCCGTCCCGTCCCGCCCGCCCGCCCGCCCGCTACAGCAGAGGGCGCGGGGAATTCCAGCCAGAAACACCCGCGGCGGCTCTGATTTGTTGACCTTCGTCAAGGGCACCCGGTGATACCGCCAGCGGTAGGCCTTGGCCTTCCCGGTTAACCTTCGCCGGCGTCGCCGGCGTGCAGGTGCCGTGCCGCAGAGGGCCGTGACGTCGCAGAGGGACGCCCTGGGCCGCCGGGCCCACGTGGCCACGAGGACCTTCCAGGCGCTGCGAATCTTCGTCAACGACGAGCTCAACGAGCTGCTGGCCGGGCTCGGAGCGGCTGCGGCCTACCTCAAGGTCGCGAGGCGCACGGGAAAGTCGCGCGGAGACGCGCACAGACTCGTCACACAGAGACACACAGACTCACCACACAGAGACACACACGGACTCACCACACAGAGACACGCAGACTCACCACACAGAGACACACACAGACTCATGTAGAGACCCACAGACTCATCACACAGAGACACACAGACTCATCACATAGAGACACACACAGACTCATCATACAGAGACCCACAGACTCATCATACAGAGACCCATAGACTCACCACATAGAGACCCACAGACTCATGTAGAGACCCACAGACTCATCATACAGACACCCACAGACTCACCACATAGAGACCCACAGACTCATCATACAGACACCCACAGACTCATCACATAGAGACACACACAGACTCATCATACAGAGACCCATAGACTCACCACACAGAGACACACAGACTCATCATACAGAGACACACAGACTCACCACACAGAGACCCATAGACTCACCACACAGAGACACACAGACTCACCACATAGAGACCCACAGACTCACCACACAGAGACCCACAGACTCATCACATAGAGACCCACTACACAGAGACCCACAGACTCACCACACAGAGACACCCACAGACTCATCACACAGACACCCACAGACTCACCACATAGAGACCCACAGACTCATCATACAGACACCCACAGACTCATCACATAGAGACACACACAGACTCATCATACAGAGACCCACAGACTCACCACATAGAGACCCACAGACTCATCATACAGACACCCACAGACTCATCACATAGAGACACACACAGACTCATCATACAGAGACCCATAGACTCACCACACAGAGACCCACAGACTCACCACACAGAGACCCACAGACTCACCACATAGAGACCCACAGACTCATCACACAGAGACCCACAGACTCATCACGTAGAGACACACAGACTCACCACACAGAGACACACAGACTCATCATACAGAGACCCACAGACTCATCACACAGAGACCCAGACTCTCACCACACCGAGACCCACAGACTCACCACACATAGACCCACAGACTCACCACACAGAGACCCATAGAGACCCACAGATTCACTACATAGATACCCACAGACTCACCACACAGAGACCCACAGACTCACCACACAGAGACGCACAGACTCATCACATAGAGACCCATAGACTCACCACACAGAGACCCATAGACTCACCCCACAGAGATCCACAGACTCATCACACAGAGACACACAGTCTCACCCCACAGAGACCCACAGACTCATCACACAGAGACCCACAGACTCACCACACAGAGACCCACAGACTCACCACACAGAGACCCACAGACTCACCACACAGACACCCACAGACTCACCACCACACAGACACCCACAGACTCACCACCACACAGAGACCCACAGACTCATCACACAGAGACCCACAGATTCACCAGACAGAGACCCACAGACTCACCACACAGAGACCCACAGACTCACCACACAGAGACCCACAGACTCACCACACAGACCCACAGACTCACCACACAGAGACCCACAGACTCACTCACACAGAGACCCATAGACTCACCACACAGAGACCCACAGACTCACCACACAGAGACCCACAAACTCACCACACAGAGACCCACAGACTCACCACACAGAGACCCACAGACTCACCACACAGACACCACAGACTCATCACACAGAGACCCACAGACTCACCACACAGAGACCCACAGACTCACCACACAGAGACCCACAGACTCACCACACAGACACCCACAGACTCACCACACAGACACCCACAGACTCACCACACAGAGACCCACAGACTCACCACACAGAGACCCACAGACTCACCACCACAGAGACCCACAGACTAACCACACAGAGACCCACACACTCACCACCACGGAGACCGACAGACTCACCACACAGAGACCCACAGACTCACCACACAGACACCCACAGACTCACCACACAGAGACCCACAGACTCACCACAGAGACCCACAGACTCACCACACAGAGACCCACAGACTCACCACACAGAGACCCACTCACTCACCACCACAGAGACCCACAGACTCACCACACAGATACCCACAGACTCACCACACAGACACCCACAGACTCACCACACAGAGACCCACACACTCACCACCACAGAGACCCACAGACTCACCACACAGATACCCACAGACTCACCACACAGAGACCCACAGACTCACCACACAGAGACCCACAGACTCACCACACAGAGACCTACAGACTCACCACCACAGAGACCCATAGACTCACCACACAGAGACCTACAGACTCATCACACAGATACCCACAGACTCACCACACAGAGACCTACAGACTCACCACCACAGAGACCCACAGACTCACCACACAGAGACCCACAGACTCACCACACAGAGACCCACAGACTCACCACAGAGACCCACAGACTCACCACACAGAGACCCAGACTCTCACCACACAGAGACCTACAGACTCACCACACAGAGACCCACAGACTCACCACACAGAGACCCATAGAGACCCACAGATTCACTACATAGATACCCACAGACTCACCACACAGTGACCCACAGACTCACCACACAGAGACCCACAGACTCACCACAGAGAGACCCACAGACTCACCACACAGAGACCCACAGAGACCCATAGAGTGTGTCCCTTGCGTGTCCCCCGCGTGTCCCTTGCATGTCCCAGCCCGGAGGTCGGCTGGTGGCGATTTCCTTCCACTCCCTGGAGGATCGCATCGTGAAGCGATTCATCATGGACGTGCCCATGACTGAGAAGCACAATATGGCCACTCGCCACAGGATATGGAAGAGGTGAGGGGGTGGGTGGGTGAGTGGGTGGGTGGGTTAGTGGGTGGGTGGGTGGGTGAGTGAGTGGCTGGATGAGTGAGTGGGTGGGTGGGTGAGTGGGTGGGTGGGTGGGTGAGTGAGTGAGTGGGTGGGTGGGTGAGTGTGAGTGGGTGGGTAAGTGAGTGAGTGGGTGGGTGGGTGAGTGGGTGAGTGAGTGAGTGAGTGGGTGGGTGGGTGAGTGGGTGGGTGGGTGAGTGGGTGGGTGAGGGGGTGGGTGGGTGAGTGAGTGAGTGAGTGGGTGGGTGGGTGAGTGGGTGGGTGGGTGAGTGGGTGAGTGAGTGAGTGAGTGGGTGGGTGGGTGAGTGGGTGGGTGGGTGGGTGATTGAGGGGGTGGGTGGGTGGGTGAGTGAGTGAGTGAGTGGGTGGGTGAGTGGGTGGGTGAGTGAGTGGGTGGGTGAGTGAGTGAGTGGGTGAGTGAGTTGGGTGAGTGGGTGGCTGGATGAGTGAGTGGGTGCGTGAGTGAGTGAGTGGGTGGGTGGGTGAGTGAGGGGGTGGGTGGGTGGGTGAGCGGGTGGGTGGGTGAGCGGGTGGGCGGGTGGGCGGGTGGGCGGGTGGGTGGGTGAGCGAGTGGGGGGGTGGGTGAGTGGGTGGGTGGGTGAGTGAGTGGGTGGGTGGGTGGGTTAGTGAGTGGGTGGCTTAGTGAGTGGTTGGGTGGGTGAGTGAGTGAGTGGGTGAGTGGGTGAGTGAGTGAGTGGGTGGGTGGGTGAGTGAGTGGGTGAGTGAGTGGGTAAGTGAGTGGGTGGGTGAGTGAGGGGGTGGGTGAGTGAGGGGGTGGGTGGGTGGGTTAGTGAGTGGGTGGGTTAGTGAGTGGGTGGGTGGGTGAGTGAGTGAGCCCTGCTAGAGGCTACACGGGGGATCTTTGTCTGTGTATAGGTGCTGCTGCTACTCGCTACTAACAGCACTTGCCCCTACAGCCCTGCTAGAGGCTACACGGGGGATCTTTGTCTGTGTATAGGTGCTGCTGCTACTCGCTACTAACAGCACTTGCCCCTACAGCCCTGCTAGAGGCTACACGGGGGATCTTTGTCTGTGTATAGGCGCTGCTGCTACTCACTACTAACAGCACTTGCCCCTACAGCCCTGCTAGAGGCTACACGGTGGATCTTTGTCTGTGTATAGGTGCTGCTGCTACTCGCTACTAACAGCACTTGCCCCTACAGCCCTGTTAGAGGCTACGCGGGGGATCTTTGTGTATAGGTGTTGCTGCTACTCGCTACTAACAGCACTTGCCCCTACCGCCCTGTTAGAGGCTACACGGGGGATCTTTGTCTGTGTGTAGGTGCTGCTGCTACTCGCTACTAACAGCACTTGCCCCTACAGCCCTGCTAGAGGCTACACGGGGGATCTTTGTCTGTGTGTAGGTGCTGCTGCTACTCGCTACTAACAGCACTTGCCCCTACAGCCCTGTTAGAGACAGGGGCCTGCGTTAGGGCTGAGCGATTAATCGATTTTGAAATCGATTAATCGATTTTGATTTTGAAATCGATTAATCGATTTTGAAATCGATTAATCGCAATTTGAAACCATGCCATTGGCAAATCGCAAAGGCTGCGATTTTTTTCGCGATTTGAAAACCCCTCTTGCCTTTTTTTATCGGAATTGTTTTTATTATTATTATGATTATTATCATCATCATCATTGCAACTTTAGTTGTTTAACTTTGCCAATTGGTGTGTGTCCGATTGTTCCGTTTCGATTAAAGCATTTTTCCATGAATTGCACGTTGGAAGCAATTCTCATCCTCGCATTAGAATATCTTGAGCGGCCCGTTTCGTTGACGGCGTCACGCGGGTTATGCTCACCCGCCGCGCCTTTGAAATGTGTCCACGTGGTGAGCGCCGAACTGGGGCTCGCCCCGAAGCAATTGAATCGCAAATGGAACGGCGTTCACGAAGCTTCCCGTCAGACGGGGATAAAAAAAATAAAAAAATAATAATAATAATCGCAGTCCGATATTTTTCCCCCCTTTTTCCAAAATCGTTCAGCCCCCGGCCTGCGCGAACCTCTTTTAAAATTCCGTTCTAATGCTTTCCCCGTGACCGCAGGGATTCACATTCTCGGCTCTTTCGGTAAAGGTCACCGCCACGTAGACAGGGAAACGACGAAATAATAAAAAAAAATATGAAAGATCATCGAATGAAATCCTCACAGACGTTTCGGCCACAACACAAGCGGGCCTTCCTCAGGTGAAGGAACAGAACTGCCGGGACCGACGGCGCTCCAGTGGAAACGCCGCTGAGATCGGCAGCGTCTTGACAAAGGGAGCGCCTTGACAAAGGGAGTTTACATATCAGCAGAGGCATTTAGCATTGAAGTTTGCTGTTGTTAACGTGTTGGATTAGCAGGGTGTTAAGGTCAGAAATCAGCGGGAAATTGTATTAAACGTTACTCTGAAAGGTTCTAAGAGATCAGCAGGATGTTAAAGTCAGAAATTAGCATGTAACTGGGAGATTAGCATGATGTTAGTGTGAGGGATTAGCATGTGACTGGTCACGGAATTAGCTACGTGAAAGTCAAAGAGTTTACACATCAACAGAAGCATTTAGCATTGAAGTGGCTGTGTTAATGTGAGATGATTTATTTTTTTTGATATTTTTTTTATTTTTATTACTTTATTATTTCCCCTTCTATGCGACTTCACCGAAATAACCAAGAAGTCTCTTTTCGATTTAAAGCTTTCGTGACTGCAGTGATTCATATTCTTGGTCCTTTCGGTAAAGTCACGTCGAAGGGAAACAATAAAATAATACAAATATAAAACAATAAAATTCTCACGACGTTTCGACCGTAACACAAGCAGCAATCATCATCAGGTGTTAAAAAACCAACGGATGACGACTGCTTGCCTTACAGTCAAAACGTCGTGAGAATTTTATTGTTTTATATATATGTATTTTATTACTTTATTACTTCCCTTCTACGGGACTTCACCGAAATAACCAAGAAGTCTCTTTTCGATTTAAAGCTTTCGTGACTGCAGCGATTCAAATTCTTGGTCCTTTCGGTAAAGTCACGTCGAAGGCAAACAATAAAATAATAAAAATATAAAACAATAAAATTCTCACGACGTTTCGACCGCAACACAAGCAGCAATCGTCATCATCAGGTGTGAAAAAAACCAACGGATGACGACTGCTTGCCTTACAGTCGAAACGTCGTGATAATTTTATTGTTTCATATATATATGTATTTTATTACTTTATTATTTCCCCTTCTACGGGACTTCACCGAAATAACCAAGAAGTCTGTTTTCGATGTAAAGCTTTCGTGACTGCAGCGATTCAAATTCTTGGTCCTTTCGGTAAAGTCACGTCGAAGGGAAACAATAAAATAATAAAAATATAAAACAATAAAATTCTCACGACGTTTCGACCGCAACACAAGCAGCAGTCATCATCAGGTGTGAAAAAACCAACGGATGACGACTGCTTGCCTTACAGTCGAAACGTCGTGATAATTTTATTGTTGTAATAGGTTTTGCCCTTTTAACTGGCACAAAAAACTGACACCTTTATTCAAGGCATCATGTCTGCAATAACTACAACACAAGCCAGTCAAAATGCAAACAAAAAGACAACTCTGATAATAATATTGGCACTGTCCTTATTATCAGAGTTGTCTCTTTTTGTTTGCATTTTGACTGCTTGTGTTGTGGTTATTGCAGACATGATGCCTTGAATAAAGGTGTCAGTTTATTTTTGTGCCAGTTAAAAGGGTAAAACCTATTACTATATCTTGTTACTGGCAAAGGAGGTCTCATAATGTAAATTTTATTGTTTTATATATATTTTATTACTTTATTATTTCCCTTCTACGGGACTTCACCGAAATAACCAAGAAGTCTCTTTTCGATGTAAAGCTTTCGTGACTGCAGTGATTCATATTCTTGGTCCTTTCGGTAAAGTCACGTCGAAGGGAAACAATAAAATAATAAAAATATAAAACAATAAAATTCTCACGACGTTTCGACCGTAACACAAGCAGCAATCGTCATCATCAGGTGCGAAAAAACCAACGGATGACGACTGCTTGCCTTACAGTCGAAACGTCGTGATAATTTTATTGTTGTAATAGGTTTTACCCTTTTAACTGGCACAAAAAACTGACACCTTTATTCAAGGCATCATGTCTGCAATAACTACAACACAAGCCAGTCAAAATGCAAACAAAAAGACAACTCTGATAATAATATTGGCACTGTCCTTATTATCAGAGTTGTCTCTTTTTGTTTGCATTTTGACTGCTTGTGTTGTGGTTATTGCAGACATGATGCCTTGAATAAAGGTGTCAGTTTTTTTGTGCCAGTTAAAAGGGTGAAAACCTATTACTATATCTTGTTACTGGCAAAGGAGGTCTCATAATGTAAATTTTATTGTTTTATATATATTTTTATTACTTTATTATTTCCCTTCTACGGGACTTCACCGAAATAACCAAGAAGTCTCTTTTAGATTTAAAGCTTTCGTGACTGCAGCTATTCAAATTCTTGGTCCTTTCGGTAAAGTCACGTTGAAGGGAAACAATAAAATAATAAAAATATAAAACAATAAAATTCTCACGACGTTTCGACCGCAACACAAGCAGCAATCGTCATCATCAGGTTTCGCAAAAACCAACGGATGACGACTGCTTGCCTTACAGTCGAAACGTCGTGAGAATTTTATTGTTTCATATATGTATTTTATTACTTTATTATTTCCCCTTCTACGGGACTTCACCGAAAGAACGACCAAGAATAAGACTCTCTACCTTTGCCCGCGCGTCTCACTTGCGCCGCTGCCCGATGCCAGCCGGAGGGACAGGCAGGGACGCTTCCTGTACGGCGATGACGACGAGGTGCTGGAGGAGGAGGTGGAGGAGGTGACTGCGACGAGGACGACCAGGAGGAAGTTCCGGGCGTTGTCGTCGCCCGCCGTGGTGTACCCCGGCGAGGAGGAGCTCCGCGTTAACCCGCGCGCTCGATCCGCCAAGCTCAGGGCGGCCGTGAAGCTGTGAATGGAGACGCTGGCGAGGGTGGTGGCGGTGGTGGCTGTGGTGGTGGCTGCGGCTGCGGCTGCGGCGGCGTTGTTGTTGTTGTGTGTGTGTCGGTTGTGAAAATTTTTATGGAAATAAACAGAAATGTAAATGAAATTTGAAAGTTTTGCGTAATCATCCGAAATTATGCCAATCGATGTAATTATGCGCGTGAATTATGCTAATTCGAGAGATAATCGTAGTAACGTGTGCGAGTGGGTGCGATTATGCTGATGCGGGCCGTTATGATAATGAGGCCCCGCCTCATTACCGAAAGAACCAAAGAAGATGAATCCTTGCAGTCACGAGAACGGGAAGATTCAGATTGAAATTGACGAGTGGAGGGGGAATGGAATAACGGGAAGATTCAGATTGAAATTGACGAGTGGAGGGGGAATGGAAGAACGGGAAGATTCAGATTGAAATTGACGAGTGGAGGAGGAATGAAATAACGGGAAGATTCAGATTGAAATTGACGAGTGGATGGGGAATGGAATAACGGGAAGATTCAGATTGAAATTGACGAGTGGGGAGGAGGAATGGAATAACGGGAAGATTCAGAATGAAATTGACGAGTGGAGGAGGAATGGAATAACAGGAAGATTCAGATTGAAATTGATGTGGGGAGGGGGAATGGAATAACGGGAAGATTCAGATTGAAATTGACGAGTGGGGAGGAATGGAAGAACGGGAAGATTCAGATTGAAATTGACGAGTGGGGAGGAATGGAAGAACGGGAAGATTCAGATTTAAATTGACGAGTGGATGGGGAATGGAATAACGGGAAGATTCAGATTGAAATTGACGAGTGGGGAGGAATGGAAGAACGGGAAGATTCAGATTGAAATTGACGAGTGGGGAGGAATGGAATAACGGGAAGTTTCAGATTGAAATTGATGAGTGGAGGGGGAATGGAATAACGGGAAGTTTCAGATTGAAATTGACGAGTGGGGAGGAATGGAGAACGGGAAGATTCAGATTGAAATTGACGAGTGGGGAGGAATGGAATAACGGGAAGATTCAGATTGAAATTGCCGAGTGGAGGTGGAATGAAAGAACGGGAAGATTCAGATTGAAATTTATGAGTGGAGGGGGAATGGAATAACGGGAAGATTCAGATTGAAATTGACGAGTGGGGAGGGGGAATGGAAGAACGGGAAGATTCAGATTGAAATTGACGAGTGGGGAGGGAATGGAATAACGGGAAGATTCAGATTGAAATTGACGAGTGGGGAGGGAATGGAATAACGGGAAGATTCAGATTGAAATTGATGAGTGGGGAGGAATGGAATAACGGGAATATTCAGATTGAAATTGATGAGTGGGGAGGAATGGTAGAACAGGAAGATTCAGATTGAAATTGACGAGTGGGGAGGAATGGAAGAACGGGAAGATTCAGATTGAAATTGACGAGTGGAGGGGGAATGGAAGAACGGGAAGATTCAGATTGAAATTTATGAGTGGGGAGGAATGGTAGAACGGGAAGATTCAGATTGAAATTGACGAGTGGAGGGGGAATGGAATAACGGGAAGATTCAGATTGAGATTGACGAGTGGAGGAGGAATGGAAGAACGGGAAGATTCAGATTGAAATTGACGAGTGGAGGAGGAATGGAAGAACGGGAAGATTCAGATTGAAATTTATGAGTGGGGAGGAATGGTAGAACGGGAAGATTCAGATTGAAATTGACGAGTGTGGAGGAATGGATTAACGGGAAGATTCAGATTGAAATTGATGAGTGGAGGGGGAATGGAAGAACGGGAAGATTCAGATTGAAATTGACGAGTGGAGGGGGAATGGAAGAACGGGAAGATTCAGATTGAAATTGATGAGTGGGGAGGAATGGTAGAACGGGAAGATTCAGATTGAAATTGACGAGTGTGGAGGAATGGAATAACGGGAAGATTCAGATTGAAATTGACGAGTGTGGAGGAATGGATTAACGGGAAGATTCAGATTGAAATTGACGAGTGGGGAGGAATGGATTAACGGGAAGATTCAGATTGTAATTGACGAGTGGGGAGGAATGGAATAACGGGAAGATTCAGATTGAAATTGATGAGTGGAGGAGGAATTGAAGAACGGGAAGTTTCAGATTGAAATTGATGAGTGGGGAGGAATGGCAGAATGGGAAGATTCAGATTGAAATTGACGAGTGGGGAGGAATGGAGAACGGGAAGATTCAGATTGAAATTGATGAGTGGGGAGGAATGGAATGACGGGAAGATTCAGATTGAAATTGACGAGTGGGGAGGAATGGAAGAACGGGAAGATTCAGACTGAAATTGACGAGTGGAGGAGGAATGGAAGAAAGGGAAGATTCAGATTGAAATTGATGAGTGGGGAGGAATGGAATGAGTGGGGAGGGAATGGAATAATGGGAAGATTCAGATTGAAATTGACGACTGGAGGAGGAATGAAATAACGGGAAGATTCAGATTGAAATTGACGAGTGGGGAGGGAATGGAATAACGGGAAGATTCAGATTGAAATTGACGAGTGGAGGAGGAATGGAAGAACTGGACGATTCAGATTGAAATTGTCGAGTGGGGAGGAATGGAGAACGGGAAGATTCAGATTGAAATTGACGAGTGGGGAGGAATGGAATAACGGGAAGATTCAGATTGAAATTGACGAGTGGGGAGGAATGGAATAACGGGAAGATTCAGATTGAAATTGACGACTGGAGGAGGAATGAAATAACGGGAAGATTCAGATTGAAATTGACGAGTGGGGAGGGAATGGAATAACGGGAAGATTCAGATTGAAATTGACGAGTGGAGGAGGAATGGAAGAACTGGACGATTCAGATTGAAATTGTCGAGTGGGGAGGAATGGAGAACGGGAAGATTCAGATTGAAATTGACGAGTGGGGAGGAATGGAATAACGGGAAGATTCAGATTGAAATTGCCGAGTGGAGGTGGAATGAAAGAACGGGAAGATTCAGATTGAAATTGATGAGTGGAGGGGGAATGGAATAACGGGAAGATTCAGATTGAAATTGACGAGTGGGGAGGGGGAATGGAAGAACGGGAAGATTCAGATTGAAATTGACGAGTGGGGAGGGAATGGAATAACGGGAAGATTCAGATTGAAATTGACGAGTGGGGAGGGAATGGAATAACGGGAAGATTCAGATTGAAATTGATGAGTGGGGAGGAATGGAATAACGGGAAGATTCAGATTGAAATTGATGAGTGGAGGGGGAATGTAAGAACTGGAAGATTCAGATTGAAATTGAGTGGAGGGGGAATGGAAGAACGGGAAGATTCAGATTGAAATTGACGAGTGGAGGGGGAATGGAATAACGGGAAGATTCAGATTGAAATTGACGAGTGGGGAGGAATGGAAGAACGGGAAGATTCAGATTGAAATTGACGAGTGGAGGGGGAATGGAAGAACGGGAAGATTCAGATTGAAATTTATGAGTGGGGAGGAATGGTAGAACGGGAAGATTCAGATTTAAATTGATGAGTGGTGAGGAATGAAAGAACTGGAAGATTCAGATTCAGATTGAATCTTCCCGTTCTTCCATTCCTCCTCCACTCATCAATTTCAATCTGAATCTTCCCGTTCTTCCATTCCCCTCCCCACTCGTCAATTTCAATCTGAATCTTCCCGTTATTCCATTCCTCCCCACTCGTCAATTTCAATCTGAATCTTCCCGTTCTTCCATTCCTCCTCCATTCGCAATTTCAATCTGAATCTTCCCGTTAATCCATTCCCCCTTTCCACCCGTCAATTTCAATCTGAATCTTCCCGTTATTCCATTCTCCCCACTCGTCAATTTCAATCTGAATCTTCCCGTTAATCCATTCCATGGCGAGTGGAGGAGGAATGGAATAACGGGAAGATTCAGATTGAAATTGACGAGTGGGGAGGAATGGCAGAACGGGAACATTCAGATTGAAATTGATGAGTGGAGGGGGAATGGAAGAACGGGAAGATTCAGATTGAAATTGATGAGTGGAGGGGGAATGGAAGAACGGGAAGATTCAGATTGAAATTGACGAGTGGAGGGGGAATGGAAGAACGGGAAGATTCAGATTGAAATTGACGAGTGTGGAGGAATGGATTAACGGGAAGATTCAGATTGAAATTGACAAGTGGGGAGGAATGGATTAACGGGAAGATTCAGATTGTAATTGACGAGTGGGGAGGAATGGAATAACGGGAAGATTCAGATTGAAATTGATGAGTGGGGAGGAATGGATTAACGGGAAGATTCAGATTGTAATTGACGAGTGGGGAGGAATGGATTAACGGGAAGATTCAGATTGTAATTGACGAGTGGGGAGGAATGGAATAACGGGAAGATTCAGATTGAAATTGACGAGTGTGGAGGAATGGATTAACGGGAAGATTCAGATTGAAATTGACGAGTGGGGAGGAATGGATTAACGGGAAGATTCAGATTGTAATTGACGAGTGGGGAGGAATGGAATAACGGGAAGATTCAGATTGAAATTGATGAGTGGAGGAGGAATTGAAGAACGGGAAGTTTCAGATTGAAATTGATGAGTGGGGAGGAATGGCAGAACGGGAAGATTCAGATTGAAATTGACGAGTGGGGAGGAATGGAGAACGGGAAGATTCAGATTGAAATTGATGAGTGGGGAGGAATGGAATGACGGGAAGATTCAGATTGAAATTGACGAGTGGGGAGGAATGGAAGAACGGGAAGATTCAGATTGAAATTGACGAGTGGAGGAGGAATGGAAGAAAGGGAAGATTCAGATTGAAATTGACGAGTGGGGAGGAATGGAATAACGGGAAGTTTCAGATTGAAATTGACGAGTGGGGAGGAATGGAGAACGGGAAGATTCAGATTGAAATTGACGAGTGGGGAGGAATGGAATAACGGGAAGATTCAGATTGAAATTGCCGAGTGGAGGTGGAATGAAAGAACGGGAAGATTCAGATTGAAATTGATGAGTGGAGGGGGAATGGAATAACGGGAAGATTCAGATTGAAATTGACGAGTGGGGAGGGGGAATGGAAGAACGGGAAGATTCAGATTGAAATTGACGAGTGGGGAGGGAATGGAATAACGGGAAGATTCAGATTGAAATTGACGAGTGGGGAGGGAATGGAATAACGGGAAGATTCAGATTG